TCTTTTTCTGTATGGCTCATACTTTTTGTATACAGCTTAAGAAGCCTAGGGGTGCCTAGGTGGCTCAGTCGTTTAAGCATCCAACTCTTGATTTCAGCTTAGGTCATAATCTCATGGTCGTGAGATCGAGCCCCGCATTGGTCTCTGAGCTGGGCGTGGAACCTGCTTAAGATTCTCTCTCTTCCTCCCCCTCTGCCCCTCCCCCTTTCTTCTCTTTCCCTCTCTTAAAAAAAGAAAAAAAAGAAGAAGTCTTTGTGTGCCCCCCCACAGAATTGTTTTCAGGGTTCCAAAGTACCCTCCAGTGACTGATCAGGCCAGGTGAACGTATGTCTACTGGACAGCTCACGGCCTGCCAGTGCATGTTGGTGACACAGGTGGGTCATGGTTGAAGTTGGTGTGTGTTTGGCCAGATGGGATCCCAGTGAGTCCACTTGACTTTTGGCAGCATCATTAGTGGTTTGACATTCTGGCTACCCACCAACTGTTTAGCCCAGAGAATGGAGATGCTATGCTGCCCAGAAAACTCAGTAGTGGGTTTGGAAAAGGAAAAGGGGGCCAAGGGACTAGGCCCTGCATGTGAGCTCCCCACTTCCACCACCCACAAGTCCAGGACAGGGTTCTGAGAACCCTGCGAACTCTAGGAAACTTGTTCGCATTCCAGAGGCAGAGAGGCAGTCCTCACACTCAGGCCTCTCCACCAGGCTGCCCCAGGGTCTCTGAGGTTGGGTAGGAGCCCTGGGCAGCACTGTGGAGAACCGGGGTCTAGTCCTCCTCCTTCACCTGAGGAAGTCACTCCCCTGTCTGAGCCCATCTGTAAATGTGGAATTGGCATGGAGCAATGGAAAGAGCTGGGACTTTGGAGTCAGGCTGACTTTGGCTCGAATCTTGCCATCTTGACGGCTTTGGGCAATTTACTCCATCCCTCTGGGCCTGATTATTTTATCGGCAAAATGGAAGTAATAATAATGCCAAAGTGAGAGGGTTGTTCTGAGGACTAGATGGGAAAGTGTAGTGTTGAGCTCAGATTGCGGGAGTGTTCGGTACATGTTGGCTGTTGTCATGTTTTGCTCACCTTCCCCGGGGCTGGGTGCTGGGGATACAGAGATAAGTAAAACTCAGTCTAGGGGAGAAGGAAGGCACAAAAACCAGTCATCTTAAAACATAACAGAAGGCAGTGTGCACAGACTCTGTGAAGAAGGTATTTGTATCCCCATTTAGCAGAGGGGGAAATTGAGGTCCATAGAGATGAAGTAACTTGCCCAAGGTCACACATAGGCAACTCTCCAGGTAGACAAGGACTCATGTGTGTTCTCTAGGCCTTGGCTTGGGGCCTAGAGGCTCTAAGGCTGGAACAGCAGCTCCACAGAGAGCTGGGAAGTGAGCATGGTGAGAAGGTGGACTAGGTGAGGAAGGTCTCTGGTGCTCAGAGGGGTTTTGACTGGACCCTGCAGGCATGGGGGCCATTCGGTTCTTCTTCCTTATTATCTCTAGTCCATCCCCCGTCTCCATCCCATCCCCATGGCCACCACTGGGTCTGGGCCCTGCTCCTGGATGACTAGAACGGCCTTCACACTGCTCTTGCTCTCCTTCTGGCCACCGCCACTTTGTTCTCCCAACAAAGTAAATTTTCTAAGATAGATATTTGATCCAGTGGTTCCCTGTCACCCTACGATGAAACCCAAGTGCCTTTAAAAGCCTGCAGGGCTCTATGGAATGGGTTCTCTGTCTGATTCTCCAGTGCCATTGTATTCTAATCCTATACATTTCCTGCAAGGTGTACACAAATACTGCACCCAAGACACACTCAACTTAGTTCCTCCTTCACCTCAGGACCTTTGCACATGCTGTGCCCTCTGCATGACACACTCCCCTCTTATCTCAGTGGAGGTGTTGCCTTCCTGGCATGGTTTCCCAGAGCCGAGCCAGCTCTCCCCCTTATGGCCAGCTGTGGCTCCTGTGTTTTTCCCCATCACAGCACTTTTCCCCATCAACCTCTGTGTTGAAACTGTGGTTGTACTCCTCATTTTCTCCAGATTGCAAACTCTTTGAGGGCAGAATAGCATTTCCTGCTCTCACTCTCTCCTCAGGGCTTGGTGCAGAGCAGGCACTCAGAATATTTGGTGAATGAATAAGGGGATAAGGGCCGGTATCTCCTATCTCCTACCTCCTTCCTCTGTCTGAGAAACCCTGGGTGCAGTGATGGCCAGGACTATTGAGATAGCAGAAACCTTTCAGGGAGTGATGGATGGTGCAGCTGGCACTTGGAGCTTCCAGCCAATGCATGAGTTTTAAGAATGGATGTTTGTGATGAATCCAGTTATGCTCCAGTTTTTGAAATGAGTCATGTTGGTGATGGCCATCCTGCCCATTGGGACTGAGTCAATTTAGTGAGAATTAATTACGGATGAGAAACTAGCTTGCAGAGCAGTTAATATTTCAGTTCCCTGGGGTGCGATGCACATGCAGCCATCAGTCTTGTCTTTGCTTGTCCTTCCTTCTCTCCCTCGCCTTAGCCCTCTTCCCCTTTTTGTGGTGGTCTGGGTGGCAGGGTGACCGAATTATGATCTTGTCTCCCCTGTGGCTCACTCTCCTTTTCCATTAAATAAAGGTCTTTCAGTCAGTCAGTAGTCAGCAAGTACTATAAAACTTCTCTGTGTCACATGCTCTGTTGGACTTTAGAAACATAGCAGGAAACAAAACAGATGTGACCCTGTTCTGAAGAGGTCATAACTAAAATATGATCACAACTGCCATGGGGATAGCACTTTACAGTTTGCAAAGCAGTTTTAAACATCAGGATGAGCCTCTCAGCAGCCTCATGCTGTACTTAGTGGTACTGCTATCCCCATTTTACGGATGAGGAAATGGAGGCTCAGATAGGTGACAGCTTGTCCACAGTCCTCAGCTACTCTTCTGGTGTATCTGAGCTTGAACCTGGCACAGAGCCGATGACAATGTATTGAAAGTCCTCTGTCTACCAGCTGCCCAAACGAGAGGGATTACTGTCCTCATCAGGATGTTTTCTTTCTTTCTCTGAGATGCCAGGGCTGAGAAGACCCTGCAGGGCTGGAGGCTGGGCCCTAACCATGGGGACTCATAAGGAAGAGTGGGAGGGTCCTCCTGCCCTGGGTCAGCAGAGAAACCCCCACTCCAGGTTCAAAACAACCCCAGTGTCCCAGAGCCAGCTGCGGGCAGAAATAAGAATCAAGCACCACCTCCTCCTGGTTGCCTCTCACTTGTAGTTCACACTTTCTCCACCCTCTGAAACATGCTTTCAGGAAAGGCTCTGATAGCTTAGGTACAATGAGATTTGGTTTCTAATTATAGCTCTAGCATGTGGCCTCCGCTTAAGGACACACATGCCTTCAGCCAGAGAGTCTATTCATTAGTTCAAGACTCAGCCCCAAGTTTCTGACCTCAGTGATGGGGCTAGAGGTGTCCTGACCTTCAAACTGCACCAGACTGGGGCTGATGAGGGCTGGCCTCAGGAAGAACCAGCTCATTCTCCCTCCTTGGGACCACAGGCCAGGGTGGGCCGCCCTCTCCTTGTCCTTCCTCCCAATTCCCGGCAGAGCAGGTTGCAGGAGCAGGAGGTCAGCTCCGGACAGGATGAGGTGTTCAGGAAGCAGAGACCTTTATAACCCCCACATCTGCTGTCCTCTGTCTGATGGCGCAGGCAGCCTCTTTAAAGATAGGGCCCAGGAGAGTGTGCTGCTTCTCACCTTCTGTGTCCTGCTCTCTTCTCAGTCCCTCCTTCCCTCCTACCCTCCCGCTCTCTCCTCTTTGTCCCTCTCTCTTTCTCTCTGCTTTCTCATTTTTCTTCTTCTCTCCCCTTGTCCCTCTCTCTGGCCCTGTCCTACCTCCCTGCCTTTTTTTCCTAGCCTTCCCCTTCTCCTGATTCCTTTGGGGAGAACATCAGAAAGACTTCCTGGAGGAAGTCACTAAATGCCTCTCAGGCATTTTCCCCTTTCAGGTCTCAATGTAAAGAGACCATTCTAGCAATGAAAACTCTTCAGCAGTGGAATTAACTGTCTTGGTCAGTAATGAGTTCTCCATCAGGGAGGCAATCAAACAAGGCAGTGTGAGATCATCTTTCCTAAATGTTATAAAGGTGATTTGACTTTCTTGATTTGGGCTGGACCACATGACCTCTGATGCTGATGTTTTTCCTGATGTGCACCACTCCACAATTTGAGGTGGTTTCAGTATATCCCATATATTTAAAACTACAGACCTGTGGCTCATGCAAGAGCAGGTATATTTGAAGATAAAATTTTTTTTGTTAAAAAAAGGTTTTGCATTTGTTTTAATTTTAGCGTTCATTAAATTTAGTGGAATTTTTAAAGTAATTAATCACAATACAGATATTTTAGAAAACAAAGAAGAAAAAAATCATTCCAGTCTTAGACCCCTGACACAACCACTGTTTACATTTCAGTCTATTTCCTTTTGGCTTTTTCCTTTTTTCCTGTGTTATGGGATTGTGTTAGGATAGAAAGACAACTTTGTATACCTTCTTGATTCCTAGCTCTAGGACATGAATATTTGTACATAGTCACCATCTGCATCATTTTCAGTGACTGCTTAATACACCATGGAGGGGTTGCCTATGATTTCTTTAGACTTCATTTTAAAACAACACAGTGCATGAACCTTTTCAAAGACGGATAATGGTTAGAGCACCCTATATTTCTTCAGAGAGGGAATTACCCAAATATTCGGAAGAAGAGCATGACCCAAGTTCAGGAATGAACATGCTTTAACGCCCTCTGTTGTAACAGGAGTTGTGTTGGGTGCTTTTTGGGCACCAGTTATCTGTGATCATCAGGTATGTGTTATCACCCCTGTTTTACAGGTGAGAATACTGGGGTCTGAAATGCTGACCTAAGGTCCTGTGCTATCTGTGTGTAGGTCAGGGCTTCAAAGCCGTGGGGGAGCTGCAAAGGGTGAACTTGTGCTCAGTCCTATCAGCTGTGGGTAACAGGCCTTTGGGGTTTCAGGATTTCCACGGAGCTGTCATGAGGGCCTTGGATGAAATAGACCAGGAGGGCAAGGACACGTTGGCCAGGGAGGAGCTGAGGCGTGGCCTGAGTGAACTCCCAGCCATCCGAGACCTGCACCAGGGGATCCTGGAGGAGCTGGGGGAGAGGCTGTTGCACTGGTGAGCCGTCTATGGACTCCTGCCCCTACTTCCATTGCACTGGGGGGTGGGGGTGCTTAAAGTCCCAGCATGTGAAACGGTGTCTCCATTTGACCAGCGCAGAAGCCGAGACACAGATATTAGGTCATTTGCCCAAAGTAAAACGAGCACGGGAGGGTCAAGCTGGGGTTGCCACCCAGTAATGTGACTCCAGCGCTCACCAGTGAACACTGTGCTGGTCACAAGGCTGAGTTCTCGCTGTCCCATCCCCCTCCCCGGCTGCAGGGAGGGCCAGCAGAAGGTGGCTGACGTCTTCCTGGCCCGGGAACAAGAGTTTGACCATCATGCCGCTCACATCCTGCAGTTCGACAGGTATCTGAGTCTGCTCAGTGAGAACAGCCTGCATTCTCCCCGGCTGGCCGCTGCTGTCCGCGAGTTTGAGGTGGGTCCCTTGGTCCTCTGGAACCTGCTCTAAGGATCCAGGGGCGGGGTGCGCATGGAAGGGCTTACTGCGAATCAGTGGGGCTTCTTGGTAGGCCTGAGGCTGGGGGTCAGAGGGCAAGACCTGGCTGGGGAAGGAGAGGGTGACCCAGCAGGAGGGAAGACCTAGAACCGAGAACATTCCCTGATGGGTGATTGATGACAACTCTGTGAGCCCCCACCATGGTGAGGGTTTTAGTGACCATTCTCCTGTCGCAGGAGAAAAGCACAAAGCAAGCTGGGACCCCAGCCAATGGAGTGACCAACAAATGGATCAACAAACTGGGTATCCAGTTACTAGACAGAAAAATGGGTTTTTTTTTTCTTTTACTAACATTAATGAAAAGCAGGGACTGGTAGATGCACTGACTGCGAGCCTGAAGGAAGGAACTGTCACAGCAGGGTGATGCTAATCTGGGAGGCCTTCCTGAAGGAGGGGATCCTGATTTTAGAGATGGGGAGAAGCTCGGCATGGCCAGGAAGAGGTGTGGATGGGACAGTGTATGAGGGATGCCATGAGCCTGGTGCCTTGAGACAGGGGTCTCTGATGGAGTTTTGTCTTCCCTGTCTCTTGGGAGCAGCAGAGTCAGCAAGGAGGTGGCCAGAACGTGAAGCACCGGCTGCTGCGGGTGGTTCAGCGCCTCTTCCAGTACCAAGTGCTCCTCACAGGTGGGCCCCACAGGAGGTCAACGTGCACTGAGGTGATGCGGGGAGGGAAGGCCCCTGAGGAGGGGTGCGCCAGTGCTGGTGGCAAGCTGTGTTAGGACAACCTCCCCTCCCACCATGGCGGCAGTGGGTAGGGGGAGGATGGCTCTCAGTTCCTGGCACCTGCTCCTCCAGACATGCTAGACTCTGCCACCACCTTCCCTCCAGCTGAGCTTGGAACCCCCTGCTGCCACCTTGGAAACCTCACTTCGGCGGCCACCTTCTGTGTCTTCCTTCAGCCTCTCCCATCCTAACACACAGAAACTCCCACCTTCCCCTGTTCTGCATTTCCTCAGTGGGTATCTCATTTCCCTAATGCTGTTCTTATCACCACGTCCTCCTTGTGGCCAAATCATTGGACATTTTTCACCTTGGACCTGCTCTGCCCATCTCTGTGGTTTAGCCACTGACCACTTTCTGCTTCTCAACCCTCTCATTCTGAGGTTTCTGTGATACACGCTCTCCCCCTGTCTCCCTCAGACTTCTCTGCTACCCTTCTCCATCTGTGTTGACAACCTCCCTTCATCCACTCTTCCATAAATGTCAGTGTTTCTTGGGGCTCAGTCCTAGGTCCTCTTTCCTTCCTTCCCATTTGACAAACTCTCCCCTGGGAAAGTCATCCCCTCCCCTACCTCCACCTGCCAGAAATACTACATCTCTGTCCTGAGCTCCAGACTCATTTACCCAGCTGCCTCCCAAATGGACAAAGACACCAGGCGTGGGGAACTGCTGTTCCAGTAAGGGAGACAGACACCCACACGTAGAGATAGGCATGTAATTCCAGATAGTGACCAGGGCCACAAGGAAAGTATATTAGGGCCAAGGGACAGAGAATTTGTTCATCTAATTCAACAAATGTTTATTGAGTATCTCCTGTGTACAAGGCCCTGTGCTAGATGCTAGAAATATAGCAGTGAATTAAACAGCCAAAACTCTGTAATGTGGAGTTTATACTTTAACAAACTAACAAGGAAATAAAAATACGTCAGTGATTAAGAGCTCTGAAGAAAATAAAGCAGGTTAAGGGGATGGAGGTAATAGGGCTCTGAGTTAGATACAGCACGGGGAAGGATCTCTCTGAGGAGGTAGCACTGCATAGAGATCTCAGCCAAGTGAGGACATGAACCCTATGAAGATCTGGAAGAAGAGAGTACCAGGTAGAGGGAGTAGTGAGTGCAAAGGCCCGGGGGCATTAACAGGCTTGGCATGTTCAAGCAATAGTAAGAGTGCCAGCATTGCTAGAATGAATGAGTGACATGGAGAGGTAGCTGGAGAGAGAGCTAGAGCTTGTGGGTATAAATGTGTTAAAGGTGTAATACATCACACTCCGCTGTGATGATGGTCACATCTGTTCCCCCAGTAGACAGTGTGCTTCTCAGAGGCAGGGATTCACCTTGTCTGTGAATCCTGAAGGTATAGCACAGTGCCAGGCACACAGCAAGCACTCAATAGATACTTGCTGAACGAGTGAATGACTAGCAGTTGTGGCAATGATGCTGGTGATGGTTCAGGGGCCTGTTTTGTTCTAGTGTGGTGGGGTGGCGGGCTAACGGGGGTGAGAGGGTAGGTACCCCATTCTTCTGGCACTTTTCCTCCAAGTCCGGAGAGGGGGGCTCCTGCTGTGGACAGGAGGCACTGCCCTCCCAGGGGCAAACTGACCCTGGCTCTTGTTCTCCCTGCAGACTATTTAAACAACCTTTGTCCGGACTCAGCTGAGTATGATAACACGCAGGGTAAGTGCAGCATGAACTCGGAGGACGGGGACGTGTTCCTCTTTTGGTCCCTGTCCCTGGTGCAGGACATAGCCCCCTCCCTGGCAGCTGGATGTGCAGTGGGCAGGAAACCTCTGGGGCTTCTGAGGTGATTACCCCCTCCCCTCAAGCACAGGACTCCCCAGGATGGGCTGTCATCCAGTGAAAGGAGAGGGCAGTAATCAGAATTTGGTGCTAGGAGGTGGTGCCAGGTCTCAAAAAGTCACCTCAGTGTCCCTGTTTCCTCCCAATTCTATGTGACTGTCCCTGCATATGACCTACCAGGGCAGTCCCTATTTTAACATATTCAGTTTATAGACAAGGGCACTAAGGCACAGAGTGGTCAAACCACTGGCAAGGACACTTAGGCTGTAGTAGCAAAGCAAGGGTTGGGCCCGTGACCTGACCCAACTGTGGGAAGACCTGGTGCCTCCCGCACACAAGCCCCTACAACTGTGGTGATCTTGGGGAGTGGGTGGGAGAGAGGGGAGGACAGGAAAGAGGCGAGAATGGTGGCTCCTGGACTGGCCCTCCTCCTCAGAAGGCCTGCTATCTTCTCTCTTTCTCCCCACAGGTGCCCTCACCCTCATCTCCAAAGTCACAGACCATGCCAATGATAGCATGGAGCAAGGGGTAAGTCCATTTCCTGGGCTCCTTCTCCGGGGTTCGGGTCTAGGCCCCCCTCCAGCCTGCCCACGTCTGCCTTGTGATGCTCCACTTCTGGGGGTGCTGCAGGCATCCATCTATGGGACCTGGCAAAGAGTTGTTGGCCCTTGGGTTCTGTCCCTGACACTTGCTGTGTGAACTCAGGCACTGTGTGTTTCTGTCCGGGTCTCTGGTTCACCATTAGAATACTGAGGGGGGGCTATAGACTTGTACAGATCTGGTAAGTAATGTCCCGACTGTGGTCTGAAACCATCTGCATCAGCACCTGGAGTGCCTTGTAAGCTACAAATTCCTAGGCACACCTTACATCTTCTCAGCCAGAATATCTGGGGGTCAGGTCCAGGGATATGCATTTTTTTTAAAGATTTTATTTATTTGACAGAGAGATACCAAGAGCAGGAACACAATCGGGGGGAGTGGGAGAGGGAAAAGCAGGCTTCCCGCCGAGCAGGGAGCCCGATGTGGGGCTCGATCCCAGGACCCTGGGATCATGATCTGAGCTGAAGGCAGACGCTTAACGACTGAGCCACCCAGGCGCCCCAGGGATATGCATTTTTAACAAGCACCCCAGGTAAATGTTTTGCTCACAAAAGTTTGAAAACCACTTGTCCACAAGATTATGTGAGCTCTAACTACACGCCGGGTTCTGCCAGAGTGTGATTCTGTTGGACGCTGATCCAGTATTTGCCAGTTTTCTGTCAAAGACGACCAACTTTATCCCACATCCCAGCTCTGTTCAAGTGGCTACCTTGATTACTTGTGTCCCGTATTTTCTGCTCCACTAAGGTGTGGCTAGAGCTTTGTGTTGAGAAGGATTTTGAGGCTGAGTCCTAGCCCAGGGGGAAAGAGTTTGGTGATCAGTTAGTGATGTGTTCCACCAGCAGAGGTGGGGGTGATGGTGGTATGCATGCTGAGTACTTGCTCAGCTCTGCTGTGGCAGATACACAGAGCACCCTTTTAGCAAGTCATCCACAGGTAGAAGAAGGAGAGGGGAGTCACATCTATTAGACACCTACTCCATGTCAGTCTTGTGTTGGGGACTGGAGATACAGAGTTAAAACATGAATCCCAGCATGAGGAGATCACAGCTCATGGAGGAGTAAACATGTGGACATGATAAGCATCATGAGGGAGAGAGAAAATGCCACATGGTTCAGAGAAGGGAGCCATCCCTCCCAGCTGGGGCTGTGAGAAGAGATGATGGAGGTGCCCCCACAGGGAGGACACATGCCTCAAAAGCAGAGAGAGGAAAGATGTGCCAGGAAGAGTAGCTGACCTGGGCAGAGGCATGGAGGTGGAGAAGCGTAGGTCACATCCGAGTTCAGAGAGCCACCCAGCATGGCCAGAAGATGGGATCAGGGTAGGTGAGGTAGGGCAAGAGTCTGAAGAGATGGTGTGCTGAGTGTGGAGGCTGAAGCCAGCTGGGTATGAAAATCGGTACATCAGACATGTTGTCATCATCAGGTTGTCTGTCCTCCTGCTCTGGGGTCCATGAGCTCCTTGCTCTTTGTTGTTTTAGCATCGTTTACATGTAGTAAGATTTCCTTCAGCATAGCCAAAGACAGAGGTGCTTTGGCGTCCCATGCCCCGTCATGACATAGCATCAGATGGGCTGGCTTCTCTGCACCTCACTTTAACCAGGGATGCCTCTGTTTCCAAAAAGGAAAACTAGGTCAGGAAGGGCCATGTCTTCCCTCCTGTGGGTGAGCTCATGTGTGGTACCACCTTGCAGGAGGAACTGAACCCCAACCCCCTCCCCCAGCTTTCTCGAAGCGTGGGGCTAGATGCTGTGCCTGGCACAGGCTGGCTCTTGTCTCTCCAGCTGCCTGGGGATACCACACTGGGTCTGCTCTGGATTATCAGCCCCTACTGCATGCCTGCTGGGATCGGGACTGGACTCTGCCTGGGTCATGGACAGGCAGGTCCAGATAAACCCAATGCCAGGGCAGAGCTCAGTGGCTTGAGTGGCTAAAGGGCAAGGCTGGGGCTCTGCCTCTCCTTCCCCATGGCCACTACACACCTCAGGCCTCATCACCTCCCAACCCTACCATTCCATTCAGAGTAATCCTGTTAAAATGTGTCTGATGGTGCCATGCCCCCATTTTACAAAGCCTTCTATGTCTCCACATTGTGTTCAGTAGAATCTGGGCAGTACTTATTGGTTGTGAGAACCAGGGAAAACTTCCTGGAGGTGGCAGCATTCATGTAGGTTTTATACTCATATCAAACCATTGCCATAACTCCCCACAAAGGTAGCTAAGCTGGTGATATGATTTCTAGGAAGAGCCAGATCCCACCACCCTGAAATGGGACCCACATACCTACCTGACACCTGGTCTGAAATGCCACTAATAAACTCACTAGAATAAAGTACTGACAGCCAAGCCAAACTATAAATCCATTGAACAGCCTGTTAACAGAAAACTGTTAGGTGATAGGAGAAGCTTTGGGAAGTCTGACTCTTAAGAGCTGAGGCCCAGGTAACCCCTCCTCTGCCGTGATCCTCACATTTTGATGGAGGACAAGGAATAAATGGGAGCAGTGTGGAAGACGGGATGGGAAAGTCTTAGAAGTGAGAGAAGTCATCCTCATCAGCTTTGCAGGAAAAGCTATAGCATATGCCCATGTGGCATCCTACTCACGGTGACCACAGCTGCCTCTGTTGAGCAGGGGATCGTGCCCAACGTTCTCCTCTAATCCTCAGGGGAACTGTTATCAGCCCAGTGTCACAAGCAAGGAAACTGAGGCCTGGAGAGACGAGTTGCTTCACCCAGGATCACTCAGCTCTCAGCGTGGGAGCTGGGTTTGAACGTGAGCCTTTCTTAGCCACCCGGCTGGACATGCCTGCACACATCACTCACAGGTTCAGACCTGGAACCTCACACACATTCTTGCATGAAAACACATGCACGTGCCCATGCACGCCGCACCTGCTCCTCTCTTGCGTGACACACATGAATGACCATAGGGACCATTTTTCTCTTTCCCACATTTGGATCTGTCTTTTTCTTTCTTTACCCAGCCATGAGGAATGTCATGAAATGTAGGCATGAAGGTTTAGAGTTGCTCCCAGGTTTGTGAGCACTGGGAACTCCTTCAGGGACTGGTCACAGGTTGGATCAGAGAGTGGATGCACCTTGCTTCTAACTACAGTTACTCAGACCAAACCTCAGATTCCCTAGGAGAAAAATCCCACATCTGGTTGCAAGGTCAGGCTTTCAAGGCTTTTGATCAAATTAGCCATTGACTGTCCTCTTCCCCATAGCATGAAAGTAAGCTGTCTCCCTCCAGAACAGAGTGAGGGGACAGGTGTAAGTCTGGGCTCTCCGATTTTCACTGTCTTTTTTTTAATAGACTTTTAAAAAAAATTTTATTGAGGTACAATATATGTAACATAAAATTGACCATCTTAACCATTTTTAAGTGCACAGTTCATCAGCATTATGTACGTTGAGATTGTTGTGTGACCGTCACCACCATCCACCTTTAGAACTTTTTCACTGTCCCCATTAAATGCTAAGCCCCTCCCCCCCAGCCCCTGGCCACCACCATCGTTTCTGAACAGATTTTATTTTTTAGAACAGTCAGAGTTGCTCTAAAGTCCCTGTCTGATGGTTCTAATAATATTTGTGTCACCTCTCCGTCTGGTTTTGTTGAAAGCTTTATTTCCTGAAAATGAGTTGGGGTTCTTTCTTGCTTTTTGTGTTTCTCATAATGTTTGATTGAAGCTGGCATTATGTGTTGGAGGAATTATGGAGACTGAGGGAAACAGTATCTACCCCAGAAGTGGGAGCGCCTGGTTTTGATCATGCCGTTCATGTAAGGGGTGTAAGGGGTGGGGGTTGGGTCAGTCCAGTCAGTAGTTGAGTTGGGTTTGGGTTTTGTTATTGTTATGTCACCCTCAGAGCCCCCCAGACTTCACACTCATCCAGAAGGGCACTGCTATCACCTGGTACTGTTTGTGGGGCCTGAGATGCCAGAGAGTTTTTCTCATTTTCCTTCTCCCCCCTCTGCCGCAGCTTTTAGCAGTCCCTGCACCCCAGAAGGGGCCTCTCTCCATGCCCTTGCCCCTTCTCAGAGGTAGACTGCTATTTCCTGTTACGCACTACTACGCTCCCAAGTCTCTGCTCTCCGGGACAAGCCTCAGTCTTCAGCAGGGCCTGCAAGCCAGGCTTTCTCTCTTTCCTGCCCCTCCTCTGCATGGTAGCCAAACACAGCCTTGTAGCTGTGGCAGGTCTTGGACAGGTCTCTGCTTTGTATGAGTGCACAATCCTGGGCCCGAGGGGCTACCTCCCCTCTCCTCGGGGAAGACAGCTTTTGCTTCTGCCCTTTCCCCAGGAGTAGTGAGTGGCACTTCGCCTGTCCTCTGGGAGGGGATTTCTTGGCCTCTCCCAGGGGTGAGGGGTTTGTACAAGAGAGGGGGCTGGGGAAGTTGGCAGGATTTTTTGCCGGCCCCCCCAGTGGTACCCTGCATGTGTTCACCACCAAGGGGGTTCTTTCTGGCCCCCTGCCCTGCCTCTAGTCTTCCTTGTGAGCACCTGGTGGGAGCTGCTAGAAAAGAAGAGCTTGCAAGTGACTGTAGATGTGCCTTGAGTCTGGGGCTCTCTGTTATTCTAAACTGTCCCACCAGCCCACACCCGACCTTCCAGAATCCATTAACATTTCAGTTGCTTTCTTCTCATCCTCCTTTCTGTGGCCGCCCCTGCCTCCTGGGTGTTACAACAGTGCACATGTCTCACGTCGCTGTGAAGGCGCCTGTCAGTCTCCCGGATTCGGGTCCGGTGGGGTTGCCTTGGGACTTCAGCTCTCTAGTAGATGGAAGAGGAGTCAGGGCTCTGTGGATTACCTTGTCCTCATTATTAGGCTAGGGGCACTGTTCTCTGTCACGAGTGGAAATGGAACAACTCTTACACATTTCTGATGTGCAGGATTTTGTGTCCAAAACTATGGACGCGGTAAAAGCCTTTTCAAGACAATTTCCCTACACACAATTTTCACCTTGCTAATTGACTTTAGAACCTGACCCTGCATAAGGTTCAGGGGGCGCCCACCCCATGGGTGAGGCACTTGTTATTTCTAGCATAATGGGGTGCTGTACGGAGGGAAGGGAGGTGTGTCACTGCATTATTATATGTAACCCAGTGAGAGCCAACAAGAGTTTCCAGGCACACTTCTTTTTCTTCAAGGAGCACAGATCTGTTTCTTCCCCAGGTGGAACATTTTCTCGATTACTCTCCCTCAGAGGCCCGACCCTGGGCTGTAAGCCCAGAGAGACAATCTGGTCTTGGGCATCTCTCTCCTCTGGGCTAGTGAAGTCTAGATGCACCAGACCTTATGGGGCACACAGATTTAGAGTAGGAGCCATGGCCTGGAGATGTATATGGGTATCGGATAGCACAGCAAGAGCAAGTGACTTTCCCCGTGGCACACAGAAGATGGCGATGTCAGATCCCAGGCCCAGGGGGACTAGCCTGAGTATAGGCAGCCCACATGTCTGGCATCCAGCAGACCCAAGCTCAGGTCCCAGTCTCGCCACTGACAGGAGGTCAGATTTTGGGCAAGGCCCTTCTGGGTTCCGTTTTCCTCCTCTGAAGTAGAAGCAATGCCCTTGAAGGGGTCCTGACCATTTCCCTCTCGCTCTGCTCCCACCCATAGGAAAACCTGCAGAAGTTGGTCCACATTGAGCACAGCGTTCGGGGCCAAGGGGATCTCCTCCAGCCAGGAAGGGTGAGTGCCACTGCCGCCATGGGCAGGGACAGAGGGCGGCCTGGTAGGCAGGCGGGTGAGGCTCTGATAAGACCCATTGTTCAGCTGGGCTGGTCCCAGACAGGCCTGGCTGCAGGTGCTGTTTACCCGCAGAGGGAGGGAGGGCAGGGCGCGGGCTCTGCTGGGCTCACAAGGCCCATGGGCTGCCTCCCCTGGGGTTTTCCACTTTCAGGACCTTTAAAGAAACAGTGCCATTTGGGTTCAGCGTCCCCTGTGGTTCTTTTCACCTCTGAGAAGAAGAGACGCTGATTATTTTTAGTTATTTTTAGTTTAGCCCAGCGTTGCTGGGAAATCAGGAAAACCATCTCTCAAGAGCCCCAAAGCGTCTTAAAAATAACATTTTTCAAGAGACAAATTTACCCACTTTTAAGCTTCCAAATGGAAAACATAAAATTCAGCTCAAAAATAGTCAAAAATGTGTTTGTTACCTGCTATGGTCCATGAAGGACAAGAGACAAAGAAATGAGAGGTTGTGCTCAGGATAATTTACTCAAAATTAGCAGGGATCTCACTGGTCTGAGATTCTGTAAAATCACACAGTGTTTTGGTCCTGGGTCATCAGGTTAGTAAATATTTATTAAACATCTATTTTATTTATTCTTAAGTAACTTTAAACATCTATTTTAAACATTCTCCAGAATTATGGAGCTTGTAGCAACTGTTCACAGGTCTTCAGCTGTTTTAGCAGACCTTCAGAGGCTCCGTTCTGAAGGTCTCCTCACGGCAGCAAACCAGGGAAAGAGTCCCTGTCTGGACCACTTGGAGACCAGAACAGTGTCTGGGGCTTGGAATAAGTCAAGGTGGGGTGCTCCTACGAAGCAGAGCCTCCTGTCTCCAGAGCTGTTGTGGCAAACATGGGCATCTCCCTAAAGCTGGGAATTCACCCATGAATTCACTTTGGGAGGCATCGTAACTTAGGTTTCCCGCTCAGAGCCTTTTCCCCACCCTTCCTTAGGATGGCAGCAGGCCTCAGCCTAACCCCCCAGGTCTGCTTCTCTCCCCACAGGAGTTTCTCAAGGAGGGGACACTGATGAAAGTAACAGGGAAAAGCAGACGCCCCCGGCACCTGTTCCTGGTAAGTACCTGGCCCCCAGCCCAGCCCCAGGACTGTCAAATTCTGTGAAGTTTTCTAGGGTCATTATTCAAAGACAACTGGAAGGGAGGGGTGGGTGCTAGAACAGAGCCGAATATTTAGGATGAGGATCATTCTACAGAGCTAGCTTTCCAGAGAGCTGAGAGCTTAACCCTTACCAACCACAACCCTTCCTGCATTATTTGAGGGATTTTGAATGGAATTTTGCCGAAACTGAATTACCCGTGTCCCCATCTGAAACATCCTAACCCTGGGAATTTCTTATCCTGGAAATAACTGTTTGACTGCCTTACCTAATGCATGAGAAGACTGAGATCCAGAAGGGGAGTTTCCTTGGCTCCGTCTCCCAGCAGGCAGGAGGCAGAGGCTCAGGAGGGAACCAGGGTTGTGACCCCAGTGTAGCATTTTCTCCACTGTGCACAAGACAGAGTACAATGTAACATTTCTGATGCTTTCCAGCCACATTCTGGAGCACCAGGGAATGGCCAGGCCTGTCGCTTGATAACATCAACCTCTGTGGCAGTTGAGCTGCAAGCAGCAATTTGCCCCAGTCCTACAAACTCCAAGTTGTTTTGCCTTTTAAGTTCTCCTACCTGCTGTGTATAATTTTCTCTCTGTTCTTCACTATTTTAGCTTTCTTTTTTTTTTTATTACTCTGTCGTGGCTGCCCCAACAGCCTCCTTACACTTTGTTAAGAGTTGTGTGCAAAGTAACAGTAAACAGGCTCCCAAGTGTCTAAGAACCTATTTCAGACATTTAGTGAGCACCTCTGATGTGCTGGGCACTGGAAACAAAGATAACAGCCTCATGCTGTACCCTCAGCCTTCAGTGTCAAATGTAAATATCGAGTTGTGAGAATGGTGTGTAATCTCAGGGCCATGGGAGCAAAAAACAAGAGCAAAGAGAGTCTGGGGGAAGCTGTCCTTTGTTCCATGTTAGTCTAAAAATTTGAAAACTCTTTCTATTGAGAAGAAATCATACCCTTGAATTTAGGGATATCTATGTGGTCATGAGCCGGAGTGAGCAGGTTAGATCCTAACCCAACACTTAGCCCCTATGTAACCCTTAGACAAGTCACAGACATGTCTGAGCCTCCAGTGTCCCAGGAGGAAAGTAGGAATACTGGGCGGTTTGGGGAATTAAATGAGGCACATAGAAGGCCGCTTATTTGGTAAGTGTCCTCCCTTCCCTCTGACAATTGCTGTAGGGGACACAGGTCCTCCCTCTGCACCCGCACAGCCCTGGGGAGAGTTGGAGCCCACGACTGTGTCCTCTGAGAATGAAAAATGAAGGTCCGGGATGGTGAAAAAGGAGCATGAACTTTGGAATCAAACTGGATTGACATCCCAGTTCTGACACTTACTGGCTCTGAGGCCCATGGCACATCTGTCATTGCCCTTCTCTTTACAGTGGGGTAATAGTCCCTCCTGCCAGTGGGGGAAGGGAGTGAAGCCCCAGCTGGAACAGAGGGAGCTCCGTGCTGGTCCCCTAGCCATTCCCCATCTGGCCACCTCCTCTGGCCAGGCCCTGCTCATGCCTTTGCCTCTCACAGGGACCCAGACAGCCAGGGAACACACAGCGTCTGTCCTTCTTTCCCTCCTCCCCTCCCTCACATGCCCTCCAGCATCTAACTGGCCCTTCATCATAGCTTCTCCCTCAGGCATCTCGATGCTAAGGCTGGGTGTCTCTTATTCCCTTGTTATTATTAGGCCATAGCTCCCCGCAGGCTGAACCTGGGTCCCGTTCTTTGCTCTGTCTTAGCACAGGACCTTCATAAATTTCCCCTGGAGAAAGAGGTGGGAGGAAGATAGGTTCTTGAGCCAGGAAGACCCATGATGAACACACTTAACACTTTTTCTTCCCCATAAGGTGCCAGTTTCATAAAATAATTTAACTGTAGAACAAAGTCAGGGCATCTGCCCACCCGCACAGGGGTTTTGGTAATGCTACAGAGAGGTTCCCACCATGGCCCCAGGTGGTAGGTGGGGCTCCGCACTGGGGGCTTATTATTGTGAGAGATTCCCCTTCACTCCTCCACGAAGAATTCCTCTATCTTCCTCCAAATCAGGCTGTAAAACACCCGCTTTGAAGAGGAAAGAACTCTGGGCAGTGGGAGGCAGCCTGGTCCTGACCACTCATAAAACCCCAGGGTGCTAATGGCAGTTGCCATGGCAGCAGGTGCTTGAGGGGCAGCCACACAAAGGCTGGGACTGCTCTGATGAGTGACATGAGCCAGTTCCCCAGGGTGGGCAGGCTTATGAGCCAGGCTCTGTGCCCAGGTTTGGTCACTGTCCCCAGATGGGGCCAGGACTCACCGTGTGACCACCTCCAACACACCACACCTGAACGCACTGGAGGCGCATTCATTTACATATGACCCTGCCGCTGCCACTTACAAGCTTTGTAACCTTGGGCAGGTTGTCAGGGCTCTCTGTGCCTCAGTTTCTCCCTCTGTGAAATGAGGATGATAATGGTAGAGCCTGCCTGATGGGATTGTTGGGGGCTGAACTGAAATCAGGGTGCTGAGCTCAGCCCCTGGCACAGAGTGAGTCTTGTCATTATTAGAAGGGCAGAGCTGGAAGGGGCTTTGAAGGTTCCTCTGACCTGGGGTCAGTCTGCCACATGTTTTTGTTAATAAAGGTCTATTGGAACACAGTTCATGGATGGTCTGTGAATGCTTTTAGACTACAGTGGCTGAGTTGAATCGCTGTGACAGAGACTCTATGACCCGCAAAGACTTGAATATTTACTATCTAGCCCTTTATTAAAAAGTTTGCTGGTCCCTGGTCTCCTCCAACTCTGATTAGAGACAGTGAGGTCCAGAGAGAGGAAGGGTTTGCCTGAGCTCACCAGCAGCTCTGGGTCCAGGCCAGGTCTCCCACACTGCTCTGGCTGTGATGCTGGGATCCTAAGAGCTGGTGGCAAGAAGCCTCGTCTGTTCTGTTCCCTCAGCAGACTCTCTGTGGGGGGAGGAAATGCTAATCCTGAGTTCTTGCTCTGTTTTAGCCCCTTAGATGCCTTGTCCTGTTCAGTCCTCACAACACTCCTAGCTTACGCTGGCTCCCACGTTGGGTGGGCTCACTGGGGGCCATTCCTTCTCAGTGTCCATAATGAGGTAGGGAGGAAGCTGAGGCTCAGAGAGGGAGCCAACTTGTCCACCCACAGTTGCACAGCTACAGAGCAGGGTGAGGATTGACATCGTCTTTCCAGACTGTAAACCTTTTAGCCAAACAGAAACACGCTCCCCTACAGAGGTGAGGTGACTTTCACTTTCTTCCCATTTGCCCCAGCTGGGGGCAAGGACCTTCAGTTGTTTTCAACAAATATGGAGTACTTGCTGTGGTCACTGGAGATACACCAGTGACCAGGACCCATCAGCTCACTATCAAGGAGCTTCCTCTCCCCCTTCCTCTCTCCCTTCCTTAACTATACTTTATGACAGTTTCATTTGTAGAGTAAAATATATCAATCTTAAGTGTGCGTACCTGCATATTGACTAATATGTGTCATTGTGTAACCACCACCTGGGTCAAGATATAGAATATTTCTAGACCATCCCCCCCGAAAGTTCCCCTGGGCCCCTTAGCACTCACTTTCCCTGTCCCCTGCCCCAAGCAACCACTGGCCTAATTTCCGTCACTACATATTAGTTTTGCCTATATAAATGTTATGAAGCAGTGTGTACCACTCTGTGTCTGACTTCTTTCACTTAGCATGTTTCTGAGATTTGTCCATGCTATTATGTGGACCATCAGTTCCTTTTGCTATGTAGTTCTCCACAGTATGGATGTACTGTAGTTCATTTATCCATTCACCTGTTGATTAGATATTTGGGGTGGTTCCACTGTTTGGCTGTTATGAATAAAGCCTCTGTGAACATTCCTGTACTTGACCTTTTGTGGACATCTGCATTTATTCCTCTTAACTATCGACCTCGGAGTGGAATTTAAAGGAAGGGACTCATGTGTTTGCTCAGAGTGGTTTTGCTCTCCTATGAGGGTCACTGGGGAATGCAAGATGCCCGTGCTCTCCAGAGCTCAGTGATCCTCCGGGACAGACACCCTACAGCCTTCACGTCTGATGGGGTTTCCTTCTCCCCAGATGAGCGATGTGCTCCTGTATACGTATCCCCAGAAGGACGGGAAATACCGGCTGAAGAACACATTGTCAGTGGCCAGCATGAAGGTAAATGCCTGGTGCCAGGCACCCTGGGGTGGGTGGTCCGAGGGAGACCTCAGGGTAGGAAAGACGGCATCCCCACTTCTAGGAGCACATAGACCAGCAGGAAGAGGCAGCCCTGAGGAAACAGCGTTACACTGTGGGTTATAGCAGGATTGTGCTGGAGGTAGTCCAGGGAGTGTGGAGAGAGGGAAGGAGGATTTCCCAAAGGGAGGCAGCGGAATTCTTTAGGGTAGATAATATTTGGACAGATGGGAAAGGGGAAAGGGAAGGGCATCCTAAAAAGAGGAAAACACATAAGGACACATTTGGAGGGAGGAAATAAGTGGGTGTTCAGTAAAGGTTTTTAAATTGTGGTAAAATATACATAACATAAATTTACCATTTTAACCATTTTTAAGTATACAGTTCAGCGACATTAAGTATATTCACACTACTGTGCAACCATCACCACCATTCATTTCTAGAACTTTTGTATCATCCCCAGATGAAACTCTAGCCCCATTCCTAACTCCCCATTCCTCCAGCCCCCAACCCCTGGCATCCACTATCCTATTTTTTGTCTCTAGGAATTTGCTCTAGATAATTCATGTAAATAGAATCATACAGTATTTGTCTTTTTGTGACTGGCCTATTTCAGTTAGCAGGATGTCCTCAAGGTGCATCCATGTGCAACTTGTGTCAGAATGTCCTTCCATCTTATGGCTTAATGATATTCCACTGTACATGTAGACCACATTTTTTTTTTCCATTTGTTCATGGATGGACACGAGTTCCTTTCACCTTTTGGCTACAATGAATAATGCTGCTATGAACCAAGTATACAGATACCTGTTCAGAGCCTGCTTCTAGTCCTTTAGGGAACATACCCACCTTCCTAGGGGTGGACAGGTGCCCACAGACCAGAGTTGGAGCCACTGTGTCAGGACCAGAAGAGGCGGGTCTGTGCTTGCCCCTCCCTGCCCCCACCCTGACAGTCTGTTCTTGGTTTTCTAGGTCAGTCGTCCTGTGATGGAGAAAGTGCCCTATGCTCTAAAGATCGAGACTTCCCAGTCCTGCCTGACTCTATCTGCGAGGTATGGGGAGGTGGGTAGAGGGAGGGTCTGAGGGATAAAGGGGCAGGATTTTGCAGGTGTTAAAGGTTGGAATAATAACCTGGATGTGTCACTTCTATTTTGGTATTATTTTGGGTTAAGGGACTTATTTTCTAGAGCCTGTCATTTAAATATAACAACAATATCTCATGTTTGTAAAAGTCTACGAATTATTGGGTCTTTACAGCAATGCAAGAGGTTAAGGCGAGTAAAAAATGCATCGTGCACTTTAGTTTATAAAGTGGTCTGCTTTTAGGCTTTCATATCCGGAGAGTGAATGAGTGAGCATTCATCATTTGCCTTTCCCTGGTTCGGGGGTGTGGCCTCTCTATCAGAAGTGTGTGTGTTTTCCCCAGGCCTTCGGCTACCCAGGGATCCCGCCTCGCTTACTCTAGGCAGCAAAAGAGCTTCCCCCCCTCCCTCTTTCCGGGCAAGGCCAGCTCAAGCTCCCTGGGCTCAGAAACCAGGGAGATGTGGCCCCTGCTGGGGCCACTGTGGGCACTGTGGGGGCTGGGACCGGGTCCCCAAGACATGGGTGTCTGCCTCCCCTCTCAGCTGGTACATGACCTGGGGGTGGCAGCAGTGCCCTTTGGGTGGGGTGGTGGTTCCTGGGCCGGCACAGGATGCGCACACACTGACACATTCTCATGCAGTTGCATTTACTCCTTCAGCATTTATTAGCCACTGCTCAGTGCCAGGTCCTGTGCTGAGGACGCAAGAGTTAAACCTTGCTGTGCTCGGGGGAAGCCTACATTAAGGGCAGGAGAGTTACGTATCGGTCATGATATAGAGCATAACTGCTGTAGTAGTTAAAAGTGTTGATGACAAGAGTAACATACAGTAGGCACCTCCTCTGACCCCATCCCCACCCTTGGCTGTGGGGCTTGAGACTTCTCCCATGCATGGGGAGTTGAGGCCTAGAGAGGAGTCACATGGCCATGTGAGGAGGAACTGGGGCTCAAATGCAGGACTGTGTGACCCAGAGCTCTTATCCACTACTGTCTACTGCCGAGTGGGTAGAAGAAACCTTGAAAATTCCAAGGAGTGACCACCCATCTGGGGAAGTGAGGGAAGGCTTCGTGGAGGAGGTGATGCCTAGATGGGGTTCCATGGCATCTTTTCTCCTCATCTCTCCTCATCTCTAGGTAAAGTCAGGGGCCTGAGACGGCCCGGGGTATGGTTTCTATATGTCCAGCTGTGAGGTGGGGATGGTGACAGGCCACACTCAGCCCTTCAGATGAGGCTGCCCATCTCTGCTAGGCAGGGGCACTGCCCTTTGGCCAGTGGCCTCGAGGAGCCGCTGTCACTGACAGGCCGGTCACCTTCCTGCACACCCAGATACTCATGCTGAAGCTTCCAGGAGACAGGCGGACCCATACATCTCCCTTCGGGGACATGGCATCTGGTTGTCCATTCCCCCCTACCCCCACCTCCCTCCCAGGCCAACCTGGTCCCTTCTCCGGGCTTTCCTGGGGCAGGCCACACTCTTACTCAGGGTGGGAGCGACACCTAGTGGGCCCTGGGAGAATTTTCACCCCGCACTCACCACTCAGAAAACCCTGCAGGGCATGGTGCAGAATGGGGATTTGGGAAGCCAACTTGTTGGGTGAGGGAGTGTCTGGGAAACTATGTGGGAAAATGAGGAGGAAGATGGGGCGGCGACAGGGACGTTGAACTTTTCCATCTTCGCCTGCCCCTCCCCTCCCCGTGTACACAGCCCTCTGCACCCTGCCCCCCACCCGCCCCGTCCCTCCTAAGGGTGGGGCCCTCTGCACCTCCCTAATGCCCGTTGCTTCTGCACAGTGCTTTGCCATTAACAAACCCACACGTCATTTCTTCCCCACAGCAGCTCTGGTAGCTAGAGGGATAGCGTTGAGAGTCCCGTGTGTTGCAGGGAAAGAAGCAGGCCCAGAGGACGGCTTTCTTGCCCTGGCTGCCCTGCTAGTAGATGGAGGCGCCGAGGTACAATGCTAGGCCGGTCTGGCGGCCGGCCGGTGCTTGGTGGGATCTCAGACACCGAGAGGCCCGGCCAGGGGAAAGGTGGGGGGACTTGATCTACACTGAGAAGCAGAGGCCGAGCCGCTGTGCATGCTGCATGCCTTGCTCACGCCACGTTGCGCCCGCAGCTCCTGCGCAGAGCGGGACGAGTGGCACAGCTGTCTGAGCAGAGCCCTCCCTGAGGATTACAAGGCCCAGGCCCTGGCTGCCTTTCACCACAGTGTGGAGGTGAGTGGGGCCCTGACACCCACCCGACAGTGGCCTCACAGCCCTGGGTTTCCCTGGGCACCCACACATCCAGAAGGACTCTCAGCTCCTTCCATCGGGCTCCTCCTCCCACCCCTCCCACCAGCTCCCCCATGGCCAGGCCCAAGCACAGCACCTCCAGTTGGCTCTGTTTCTGACCCAAGGTTAGCATCCTAGAGGATGCCATGGGGTGGAGGGGGTTGTAGAATTAGAATCCATCCCACACCCTGTACAGGAAAGAGGGCACCCATCTAGCCATCTCCTGACCACACCGCTCACCCCATTCCATTGCTCCAGATACGGGAGAGGCTGGGGGTCAGCCTGGGGGAGAGGCCCCCCACTCTGGTGCCCGTCACACATGTTATGATGTGCATGAACTGTGGCTGCGACTTCTCCCTCACCCTGAGGCGTCACCACTGCCACGCCTGTGGCAAGGTGAGTCACCTCATCTGGGTGAGTGTGAACTTAGGGTCGTGTGGGGTGGGCACTCGGGCACCCAGCAGTTACTGTTGGGCTCAGGGCAGGGTGTTGTCACATTAACCTTGTGAGGCCCCATTTTACTGATAGCCTCAAACCAGGGCTCCAAATCCCATTCCATTCCACCACTGCATTCCCGAAAGAAAATCATAGCACACGTGGTTATTGTCTTTGGAGAAAAAGTATCATGTCCTGGTTAAGGGCTCATCAGAAAAACTGATAGACACTTGCACAGAAACTCTGTGTCTCCACGATGGAAAAGCAGGGGGACCTGGCACAGTCCTGTGCTCAGAACAGTACCTGGAGAGGTGGGGGGTGAGTCAGCAGAGGGGAGAAGATGCTGGTCCTCTGCACATGCACATGCAGAGGGCGAGAACCGTTCCAACGTATGTCCCCACCCGGGCTTGCAGATTGTGTGCCGGAACTGTTCAAGAAACAAGTACCCTCTGAAGTACCTCAAGGACCGGATGGCCAAGGTCTGTGACGGCTGCTATGGGGAGCTGAAGAAGAGGGGCGGGGATGTCCCAGGCCTGACGAGAGGTAACCTGGGCACCACTGTTCTTCCGGGTGGCTTCTCGCTGGCCCCTGGTTGTGCCTGAAACCACATTCCTGTGGAGGTTCAGAACAGAAGCAGCCCTGAAGGAGGAAATAAGGGTTTAAACTCATACCTGGGGCACCATTTCCCAAAATGTTGGCTCCATGGGAAATCGATAGGCACTCCCAGAAGGGTCTGTGGGCAGCTAAGCTTGGGAAACGCTGGGTCAGTGCCTCTCTGTGAGGGGGATGGCAGGTGCGGTGCTCCAGGTATACTTTGCCATGGTGACCCTCTTTTTGAAAATGTTCTGTAGGCTTGTGTTCTATGGGACCTTTCCAGGATAAGGATTTTGAGACAGATAGCAGAGGAGTTGTGGATCAGGGAAGGGCTGAGGGCTCCTTGAGTGATAAAGGATCCTGAGGAAGCCAAGCTGGCCCCTGAGAGACTGTGCTCAGGGTACAAGCTTTGCCCAAGCAGGGTTGGGCCAGAGGGACAGCAAGTGTATACTGGGCCCAAAACCAAAGATTTCTCCTCTGTGGGGCCACCTGAGGCCATCACAGAGGACAGCCCAGGTGAAGAAGGGATAGCCAGCACCCAGGAAAAGCCTCCCTTCTTGGCCCCCGTGGCCTTCATGTCATCAGAGGGAGTGTGCCTGTCTTTCTGGTCACACCTGATCCCCCTCATGAGGCTGATTCCCATCTCAGGAGGGACCCGGAGCTCTAATTTTATAGGAATTGGCATTCCAAAGCAAGAAGCATGCCTGTCCATGTGGACACTCACCTCCCATCCCCTGTGGCTTATCTTGGTTACAGAGCGGCCCGTGAGCATGAGCTTCCCCCTGTCCTCCCCCCGCTTCTCGAGCAGTGCCTTCTCATCTGTCTTCCACGGCATCAACCCCTCGACCTTCAAGAAACAGAAGAAGGTCCCTTCAGCCCTGACCGAGGTAAGGCAGGCGGACTGCCTATGTGGGAGGCAAGGGATTTAGAAGGTTCATGGTCCTCCTCGGTGGACAGGGTATGACCTCCCCCAGCCTGGCTGAGCTCTTCAGGACAAAGAGAATTCCCAATGGGAGACACTCTTGTGACAAGGACTGACTCACCACTAACAAGGGCCTGTCTCCTGGGCGTGACTGAGAACATGCCTGCTTGGTGGCAGAAGGCGGGACCCGAAATGTAGATGGTGCTAGAAGTCTTTCCCATCCCTCTCTCCCCTCCAAGTCTTTCTTTTTTTCTCCTTACTTTCTTTCCTGTCCCATGGCCTAGACCTGGTCCCCATGGGTAGTGCACAGATCACTGGGGTTCTTCTGACTAAAACAGCCACAGTCCTGGCTTAGCCCTCCCTAGCAGGCCCTCGGAGCTGTGCTGTCCGCTTCAGCCTGCGGGTCCCAAAGGGCCTCGGGTGCTGAGCCTCCTGGAGGATGTGGGACTGTCTGCAGGAAGCCTCAGAATTGCTTAAATTCAAGTCTATCCTATAAGGAGGGCCAGATTATATGTCTATACTCTGGCCACAACCACAAACAAATGTGTGCCCATGAATATACAAGCTGTCAAAAGAAGATCAGCTGTTTCCAAGTTTTTGCATTAATATTCATTATTGAGTAGCAGGTGGCAAGGTGCAAGTTTCAAAAAGTGTTAGGGTATGGAAATTTTAAAGGGGTACAGTTCTACTCATTTACTTAATTCCTTTGCATATTAAAAATCTTGGGAATAACACATACATGGTAAAAAAAAATTTTTTTCAAAACAGCACAAAAGAATACCTGATGAAACATGAGTTTCTCTCCCTCCCCGAACTCCTCCAGTCCCACCTACTCCCAGAGGTAACCACCATCAAGTTTCTTAGGGATCCTTACAGAAACTTTAATGCATATACATACTAAAGATGTACATCCATTGATCCTTTTTTTTTTTTTTTTTTTTACTGAAAAGGTAAATTGTACTGAATCTTCTATACACTCTTCACACTTAATTTCTCTTAGCTATCATTCCACATTTGCTCACACATACAAATCTCATACTTTTTACATTGTATGGTTGTAGCATCATTTATTTAACCTAGTCCCTTTCCACCAATTGAGAAAAGATCACCTTTTCACTCCTGCTGGGCAGAACCTGAGTGTTCCATGGGCACACAGTTTGAGAACCACTGCTCTTAGCCTTCTAGAGTCCAGCTGTCTCTGATGCTGGTGTCCTAGCTAGCCCTTTGGTAATTTTTGCTCAAAGTGACAACCTTTTTATTACCTAGCAAAGACTGCACTTAGTGGGATTTGCAGCAGCCCCAGGAGAAATGTGCCCCACCTGTCACCCGCTGCCCTGTCCCTTTTCCGCAGGAACTCCACCTTAACAGTAAGCCCTGCTCCCCATGACAAAGTCTGCGGAAATGCTGCCTCTCCGATCACCTGCCAGAAAGGGAGGTCAGAATCGGCTTCCCCTGACATACTCTGTCCACTCTGCCTTCCTCACTCTGCGAGCTGCCCTGGCAGGGCAAGTGCAGGGAGAGAAAGCCTGTGTCTGGTGCTGGGAGTCCTGGAACCTGTGGCGGACACAGGCTCCTTTCCTGGTACCTCTTAAAACAGTCCAGGCTGGGTGTGTGGGGGGCTCAGTCGTTAAGCGTCTGCCTTCGGCTCAGATCATGATCTTGGGGTCCTGGGATCGAGCCCCACATCGGGCTCCCTGCTCAGTGGGAAGCATGCTTCTCCCTCTGCCTCTGCCCTTCTCCCGCTCATTCTCTCTCTCCCTCTCTCTCTTTCTCTCTCTCTCTCTCATGAATAAATAAAATCTTTAAAAAAAAAAAAAAATCCCAGGTAGGTGATGGCCTCCTTTCCCTGCATTGAAGTTCATTGACCTTCGGAGTATTTGCCAGGAGATCCAAGTTCTCTACCCTCTCTTCAACTAAGTAGAGATTTGACCTTCAGTAGATAACCTCCATTCCTCCAGGCGTCAGTTTCCCCATCTGTAAAATGGGAAAGTCAGATGAAATTATTTCCAGACCTGGCCTTCTTGCCCCAATAGTAAGATTAGTATTTTGAGCAGTTCTGTGGGCCAGGCACTATACCTGTCAGGTACCTCTCTTAGGTCATTGACTCCAGTTTTGCTAGTAGGGAATCTAAGACTTAGAAGAAGTAAATTGCCCACATTGCCCATCAAATAACTGGGAGAACCTGGGCTGGAACCCCAGACTGGTATTTCTCCAAACCTGTATTATGTTCTGAACGCCCATATAAAGACTGTGCAACAGACAAATCCTACTTCTACTAATAACAACAGGAATTAACCCCCCCCCCCAATTAGGAAGAAGATTACAAAATCTTTTAAGTAAACATTACAAAGAGGATCCATCCTTAAATATAAGAGATAAGCTTAAAAATGAGGGGCACCTAGGTAGCTCAGTCAGCTGAGCTTCTGACTCTTGGTTTTGGCTCAGGTCACGATCTCAGGATCGTGAGATTGAGCCCCATATTGAGCCCACATCAGGCTCTACATTCAGCATGGAGTCTGCTTGAGATTTTGTCTCTACCTCTGCCCCCCCACTTGTGTTCACGTGCTCTCTCTAAAATAAATAAAATACTTAAAAAATTTAAAAAGTGTAAGAATCAAGTTTATTTTTTTGAGCATGTATGTGTGGGTTTTTTTATTTTTTCAAGTTTTTATTTAAATTCCAGTTAGTTAACATACAGTGTTTATTAGTTTCAGGTGCACAATATAGTGATTCAACACTTCATACATCACCCGGTGCTCATCACAAGTGCCCCCCTAAATCCCCATCACCTATTTCATCCATTCCCCACCCCTCTCCCCTCTGGCAACCATCAGTGTGTTCTCTATAGTTAAGAGTATGTTTCTTGGTTTTTTCTCTCTTGTTTTTCCCGTTTGCTCATTTGTTTTGTTTCTTAAATTCCACATATGAGTGAAATCATACAGTATTTGTCTTTGTTTGACCGACTTATTTCACTTAGCATAATACTGTCTAGCTCCATCCATGTCATTGCAAATGACAAGGTTTCATTATTTTTCATGGCTGAGTAATATTCCACTGAATATATTTACTACATCTTCTTTATCCATTCATCAATTCGTGGACACCTGGGCTGCTTCCATATCTTGGCTATTGTTGGTAATGCTGCTATAAACATTGGGGTACATGTATCCCTGTGAATTAGTGTTTTAATATTCTTTGGGTAAATACCCAGTAGTGTGATTGCTAGATCTAGATGGTAGGTTAGTTATTTTAACTTTCTGGGGAACCTCTATAACTTTCTGGGGAACCTCCGTTTTCCACAGTGGCTGTACCAATTTGCATTCTCACCAACAGTGCAGAAGGGTTCCCCTTTCTCCACATCCTCACCAACACCTGTTGTTTCTTGTGTTGTTGATTTTAGCCATTCTGACAGGTGTCAAGTGGTTTTTCATTGCAGTGTTGATTTGCACTTCCCTGATGATAAGTGAGGATAAACATCTTTTCATGTATCTGTTGGCCATCTGGATGTCTTCTTTGGAGAAATAGCTGTTCAAGTTTTCTGCCCACTTTTTAATTGGATTATTTGTTTTTTGGGTGTTGAGTTTTATAAAGGATTTATGTATTTTGTATACTAACCCTTCATCAGATATGCCACTGGCAGATATCTTCTCCCATTCCAAAGGTTGCCTTTTAGTTTTGTTGATTGTTTCCTTTGCTGTGTAGAAGCTTTTTATTTTGATGAAGTCCCAATAATTTATTTTTGCATTTGTTTCCCTTGCCTCAGGGGACATATTTAGAAAGAAGTTGCTGTAGCTGATGTCAAAGAAGTTACTCTCTGTGTTCTCCTCTGGGATTTTTATGGCTTCAGGTCTCACATTTAGGTCTTTAACCCATTTTTGAATTTATTTTTGTGTATGATGTAAGAAAGTGGACTAGTTTCATTCTTCTGCATGTTGCTTTCCAGTTCTCTCAACACCATTTGTTGAAGAGACAGTCTTTTCCTCTTGGATATTCTTTCCTGCTTTGTCCAAGATTAGTTGACCGTATTGTTGTGGGTCCATTTCTGCATTTTCTATTCTGTTCCGTCGATCTCTGTATCTGTTTTTGTGCCAGTACCATACTGTTTTAATGAGTACGGCTTTGTGATATAACTTGAAGTCCGGAATTGTGATGCCTCCAGCTTTGCTTTTCCTTTTCAAGGTTGCTTTGGCTAAATAGGAACTTTTGTGGTTCCACACAAATTTTAGGATTGTTTTGTTCCAGCTCTGTGAAATATGCCAGTGGTATTTTGATAGGGACTGCATTAAATATGTAGGTTGCTTTAGGTAGTATAGGTATTTTAACAATATTTGTTTTTCTAGTCCATGAGCATGGAATGTTTTTCCATCTCTTCGTGCCATCTTCAGTTTCTTTCATCAGGGTTTTTATAGGTCCTCATAGTATTGGTCTTTCACCTCTGTGGTTAGGTTTATTCCTAGGTATCTTATTGTTTTTGGTGCGGTTGTAAATGGGATTGATTCCTTAATTTCTCCTGCTGCTTCATTATTGGTGTATAGAAATGCAACAGATTTCTGTACATTGATTTTGTGTCCTGTGACTTTACTGAATTTGTTTATCAGTTCTAACAGTTCTTGGGGGTCTTTTGGGTTTTCTATATATAGTATCATGTCATCTGCAAATAGCGAAAATTTTACTTCTTCCTTCCTTTGGATGCCTTTTTTTTAAGTAATCTCTACACCCAACATGGGGCTCAAACTCATGACCCCAAGATCAAAAGTCGCATGCTCCACCGACTAAGCCAGCCAGGCACCCCGATTTGGATGCTTCTTTCTTTTTGTTGTCTGATTGCTGTTGCTCGGACTTCCAGTGCTATATTGAATAAAAGTGGTGAGAGTGGACACCCCTGTCTTATTCCTGACTGTAGAGGAAAAGCTCTCAGTTTTTCTGCATTTAGGATAATATTAGCTGTGCATTTTTCATATATGGCCTTTATTATGTTGAGGTGTGTTCCTTCTAAACCTACTTTATTGAATGTTTTTATCATGAATGGATGTTGTGCTTTGTCACATGCTCTTTCTACATCTATTGAAATGACCATATGGTTCTTATCCTTTCTTTTGTTAATGTGATGTACCACGTTGATTGATTTGCAAATATCGAAGCACCCTTGCATCCCAGGAATAAATCCCGTTTGATAATGGTGAATGATTTTTTTAATGTATTGTTGGATTCAGCTTGCTAGTATTCTGTTGAGGGTTTTTGCATCTATGTTCATCAGAGATATTTAGCCTGTGGTTCTCTTTTTTAGTGGTTTCTCTATCTGGTTTTGGTATCAGAGTAATGCTGGCCTCATAGGTTTCCTTCCTTTTCTATTTTTTTTTTGAATAAAATGTTGAGAAGAATACGTATTAAATCTTGTAAGAATCAATTTTAGAAGGAAGAACCTTTCCCCCAGATACTTGCAGTTTCGTATTATGGGGCCTTGTGGGTTGGGGAGAGGGAGCCAAGAATCTGAAACACCACTTGGGGCAGCACTCCTGAAGGCAGTTTTTGATTCGTGTGTCTCCTGGGTCCACTCAGTAAGTCCTGTCTTAATCCCTGGTACTGTTGTGCTGCTTTTGAGGTGCTGGATGTGTCCTGAGACCTCATCCGAGTCTCAGATTTCAAAGCAGTAAACACGCTCTGCCAGCTGGTTTGCACTGTCCTTTTAGCTCCGCCTGAACCGTGCCTACCCCCTGGTGCCCTGACCACTCTGCTTCTCTTCTGCCAGGTGGCCGCCTCGGGAGAGGGCTCCGCCATCAGTGGCTATCTGAGCCGGTGCAAGAAAGGCAAGAGGCACTGGAAGAAGCTCTGGTTTGTCATCAAAGGCAAAGTGCTCTACACCTACATGGCCAGTGAGGTAGTGGTGGTTCGTGCTCTCTCTCCTCTCACCTGTGAAGGCCCTCCGGTTAAGCTTATGCCTCAGAGTGTCCCCGTGGGTATGCACAACACCCCATCGCCTGCAGGGCGGTGTGAGGCTGGATGCGGGTTCCAGTTCCCGTACCACTCCAGTCTGTGTCGAGCAGTACCATGTGCTGAGTGTTGCCACAAAGACAGAACGACGTGTAGGTTCCAAGTGGAAGGACTTTACCATCTCTCTGTGGAGATACGGCGGGACAGCTTGCAGACCTGTGCACCCGAGTGTTGAAGGTCACAGGCCCGGCATCTAGCACAAGCCAGGCACTCCAGGGAACTACACTGTTTCGTGGTAGTGTTTCTACTAAATACAACTTCAGTTGATACTTTTTACAGAGCGTCTTACCTTTACATATAAAATGTAAGAGGGCCTTGGACGGCCTTGGAAGTGAAGCCTGCTTCCAGAGCAGCCGGGTGCGGGCTCTGCTATACAGCAGGTGGCTGTCTGGTCCTGACCCAGGCTGACGCTGGGTGATAGTTTGAAGGATTTCCATGTCTAGCCCCCACCATCCGGTGGCTTCCGCGGGCTAAACCCGCTTCGAAAACGGGACTTAAGAGCCCAGCTGCTGAGCATGTGTGTTTTACCCCAGCAGGATAGTCACATCAGCACAGGGCTGGCGCTTCTACCCCGACCCCAGATGCTGGCGAAGGGGCAAAAGACACTTTCTTTTGGGGGCATAAACGTTCTCTTACAAAAGACCGGTAGCTGTGATGGTTGCAGCCTGCCCGTCCCTCAGGGAATCCCAGAGGCCGGCAGGGGCGCAGACAGACAGAGGGGGACCCACAGTAGGCCTGAGTGACTCCAGTGCCCTCACTGACATGCCCACAGAGGAGCTGAGGAGAATTTTGATCTTTCCAGAACAAACTGAAATGTGATGTGATGCCCACCTGCAGCCCAGGGCAGCATCTTCCAAAGTAGGTATTACACAGGATGCTCACAGGGGTTCTCTGAACAATGGATTCTGAGGGGACCCTGAGTAGGCAGTTAGTAGGAGTACTTCTTAGAATCTGTAATGTACCCAGATGTGTTGTGGATCTCTGAATGAGGGGATTTCCCAAGCTGGCCTGACCACAGGCCCTTCCTCATGGGGTGTCTCATGGGACTCTCCCATCCCATGGACCACTCTTTGGGAAGAAACTCTGTCTTAGACAGGTGAATGAAGGCTAGTGTTAATTAAATAACCACCAAAGAGGCGAATCCTGTCTGAGAATGGAAAACCCATTCTCAGTGTCCATTCTGTAGGTCCTGAGCAACGGTGGTTATTGGAAGTAACACCCTGAGTTGATTTTAAAAGGTGGATTTTAAGTATGCTTCCAAAGTAGTTTTTTCCATAAAGAACTAGTACAATTTCTTAATAAGACCATGCAAGTGATAGGACTAGGCTCACAAATTCCATCAAAGAAAAAAGGTTTGATAAAATGGATAGCCAGTTTTCACTGTGTGTACTATCATGAACCCCTGGTGTTTACCTGTGGTATCCCCACCTCATTCCTGTCCCCACAGGCAGCACACTGTTCTGAATTTTTTCTACCATAGATTAGTTTTACCTCTTTTAGAATCTTCATATAAATCAAATCACATATAAATGTGACCTCTCCCACTCAGCATGAGGTGTTTGAGAGTCATCCATGTTTTTGAATACAGCAGTAGGTCATGACATTTTATGGCTGAGTAGTATTCCATGTTGTGAACATACCACCATGTGTTTATTCCATTCATCAGTTAAAGGACATTTGGGTTGTTTCTGGTTTTTGGTAATTATGAATAAAGTCACTTTAAACTTTTGTATAGAGGTTTTTATATGAAAATAGGTTTTTATTTCACTTGGGTAGACACCTAGGATTGGAATTTCTAGATCATAGGAAAGTATATGTTTGATTTATCAGAAATTACAGCCCTTTCGCAAAGTGGTCTACCATTTTATCCTCCCCTCAACAATGTATGTAAGTCTGAGAGTTCTGGTTGCTCCACATCTTAGTTAACATTTGGTATTGTCAGTCATTAATTTACTAGTATCTCAGTGTGGTTTTAATTTAGATTTCCCTAGTAACTAATGATGTTTTTGATGTGCTTATTGGCTATTTCTGTATTTCCCTTTGAGAAGTGTCTGTTCAGATCTCTTGCATATTTTTTTAAGTAAGTTGTCTTATTATTGGGTTACAGGAATTCTTTACATATCTTGGATACCAGTCTTTTGTCAGATAAATGTTTTGTGAATATTCTCTCCCTGTCTGTGGCTTGCCTGTGCATTTTCTTAACGAATGAATTTGTTCTGTTCTTTTGGTGAACAGAAGTTTTTAACTTAAATGAAACCTAATTTATTAGTGTTTTCCTTTATGGCTGTTGCTTTTCATATCACAAGAAACTTTTAGTCTACTGCAAGTCACAAAGTTGTTCCCCTGTATTTGCTTCTGAAAACTTGAATGTTTTAGTTTTTACATTCAGGTCTATCTGAAATTAATTTTGAGTATGGTATGAGACAGGGGGTGGTGTTCATTTTTTTTCCATATGGATATCCAATTATTCCACCACCACTTGTTTAAAAAAAACTTTCCTTTCCCTATAGGATTATTTTGGTGCCTTCGTTAAATATCAAATGACTAGGGGCACCTGGGTGGCTCAGTCGTTAAGCGTCTGCCTTCGGTTCAGGTCGTGAGCCCTGCATTGGGCTCCCTGCACAGCGGGAAGCCTGCTTCTCTCTCTCCCACTCCCCCTGCTTGTGTTCCCTCTCGCTATCTCACTCTCTGTCAAAAAATAAATGAAATCTTTAAAAAAATAAAAATTAAAAAAAAATCAAAAGACTAAATACATTTGGGGCTATCTCTGAGTTTTCTATTCTGTTTCACTGATATATTTATGAAATCTTATGCCAATACCTTACGGCCTTAATCACCAGAACTCTATAGTAAGTCTTGAAGTCAGACTGTATAAGCCTCCAACATTGTTCTTTTATTTATTTATTTGTTTATTTGTTAGAGAGTGTGCATGTGCGTACAGAAGTGGGGGGAGGGGCAGAGGGAGAGAATCTCAAGCAGACTTCCCACTGACACAGGGCTCAGTCCCATGACCCATGAGATCATGACTGACCTGAGCCAGAGTCACCAGTCTGATGCCTGATTGAATATCCCAGGTGCCCCTTCAACATTGTTCTTTTTAAAAGATTGTTTGGGTATTCTAGGTCTTTTCTGTTTCCATATAAACTTGTCAATTTCTACCCAAAAGCCTGAGATGATGACAGAGATTGTTGAATCAATTTGGGGAGAGTTGGCATCTTAACAATATTGAAATTCTTCAAATCTATGAATATGGCATAAATCTTCATTTATTTAGTTCTTTAGTTTTTCTTTTAATGTTTTGTAGTTTTAGTATAGAGGTCTCATACTTCTGTTCTTGCATTTATGTTAACCTTATTCCTATTTTATTTTTGCATGCTGTTTTTTTAAAGATTTTATTTTTTGACAGAGAGAGACAGTGAGAGAGGGAACACAAGCAGGGGGAG